TGATATTCTCAATATTGTAATGTTTGCCATTTTTCCTCCAAACTCGAGATGGTCCATCACTCCTAAAAATTTTAAAACAGGATTCATCACTCCAGATAACATTTTTCCATTGTCTCACAGTCCAATCTCTTCTGTCTAAACACCACTTCAATCGATTTTCTCTTTGCTGTTCTGTTAATAAGGGCTTTATTGCAGCAACTCTAGAAAAACTCCAAGTTCATGCTAATTTTTTTGAATAGTTTTTGTTGATACTTGAATGCCACTTACTTGAACAAAACCTTTTTGGATCTCTTCTGCAGAACTACAATTTTTTTTGTCACAATTTCTTTCAGGATTTTTTGATCATTAACTTTTTAACGCCCTTGGACGGCCACTTCTTGATGCACTTTTTAGACTCACTGCATTCTCATAACGTTGAATATTTTTGTGAACAGTAGATTTTGAAATTAAGTATTTTTGAAATCTTTCTAATACTACTACCACCTATCCTAAGGCCTAATATTTTTCCTTGTTCAGTTTCAGTCAATTCCGAATTTTTAGACATTTTTAAAAAATTAGATCAAAAAAATTTTAATCCATCAATTTTAGCACAGATCCTTTATTTTAAATAACAATATATCTAACCATGGTAAAGTCATGAAATTTCAAATAAGTATTCTTGAGAACCTAAGCTACATATTGATATAAATTTCTTTTGATTTTAATATGAAAAATTTTAAGAAATTGTAAAATTAAAAAATATCATGATTTTAATTGAAGTTTGTATTTTAAAAAAATATAAATGAAGGCTAGAAACATGACATTTTATAAGCACATTCTCAAAGACTTAAGCCACAAAATGATATCATTTTTATAATTTATTTTTATGTAAAATTTTGCGTAATTATTAAAAATGTGTGTCCCGATACTTTCTTCAGGCAGTGTGGGAACATACCACAGGTAAAAAATCTTTTTATAATGTACCACATGATCATCATCTGAGACCTGAAATTACCAGAGACACTCCTGAATTCTATGCTGAATTGATGAAAAAATGATGGGACTCGAACCCAGAAAATAGACCAACTGCTAATGAACTTGATGAGTGTTTATATGGATAACATTGTAATTTTTCTGATAAAGGAAAGAAAATCATTAAATTAGCAGAATCTAAACACCAAGAGATAATTAAATCAGAAAAAAATCTTTCAGGAGTAAAGAATTATAAACACCATGTAGATGCATTCTATACAAGCCACCCACTTAGTAAATTAATTGAGCAGGCTAATAACAAATTGGCTATTATATTAATGGGTAGTGCTGATGATGATTCATCAAATAAAAAAATTCAACCAAATACTTTAATTGAATATAATTTTGACAATGATGCTTCAGTATTTATGCCAATGCATATGAAATGAAAAATGATGGCAGTGATGATAATGTTAGGGATTGTGATGGTGATGATGGTATCAGATATTATAGTGCTGATGTTGATGATGTTACTATTAGTGATGATAATGTCGATGATAATGGTGTTGATATTAGTGGTAAAAAAAAAGCACTATTTTTTTGTTTAATCTATTTTACCATTTAACTGAATAAATATAATTATGGTTATTTATTATTAATATCCGTGAAGTTACACGCAAGGATCTTCTAGAAACTCCCTTTGTTGTTGTAGAAATTTGCTGCAAATCCTTTAATATTGTGGTTTTTCTTTTGGGGTTTGATAATTATTTGGTACATCATTCCTTACTCTTATTATGATTTTTGATTTCTAAATTACAATCATTCATTATTTTGATTGAGGGTCATATTTATTTTACGTGGAATCATTTCATTATCACGTTTTGTAAAACCGATTGGGTTCACTCAAATCACATGATCAAGTTACCAAGCATGTTTTATATTTAGGGTCCGCGTAATTTAAAAACCGTGATGATGAAAAATCCCATATCTCAAAAATAACATTAGAAGTTTATAAAAGAAATTTATGAGATACTTATTGCTAGTTCTCTTGTAAAGCTTAATTCATATCCTTTTTTTTTAGACTTTGTTGATTTTCATTATCTATCATATGTTTTTAACAGATGATGATAAAAACGGGTTTGATGTTTTCTTTAAAGTATAATCTTAAGCATGTGTAGAAGACTCAAAGTCTAATTGACAAAAATGAAAAAGCATGTCCATTTTTTTTTTTGCATAAGATTTTTTCAACTGACTGCATATTTTATATAAAAGATATACAGTAAAATACATAATCATGAAATTGGCAAAAAATCAAGTTTCACTGATACAAATTTTTAAAAAAAAAATGATTTCAATGTTCCGCGAATTTTAATCGCGCTGTATATATATATATATATATATATATAAATTAAAGCTGCATTTGAAGCTGAATTTGAAGCTGAATTTACAGCTACAGAGCGCTCCCTCGAAAATTTTTTAATGAATATTGGTTTTACTTATAATAAAAAAGAAAAACATTGATTTCTAGTAATAGTTTGCTTAACAGATTATTATTGTATGTGACTACACGCTAACCTTCTTGTGCTTGTTTCAATTCCTTGGATGGTTTTTATCTTACGATCCTTACATGATCCATGCATGGTTATCTTAATGTTAACTATTATTGTCTTACAATTTTACATGATCCATGTAGTCATGATGTTTTATTAATTACGATCGATCTTATATGATTTATTAATTATTGGTTATATTTCTTAGCTATTTATTACCTATCAACAATCGATTAGATTACGTAAAGAAAGGTGTTTAAAATTTATGTGAAAATTGAAATTTAATAATTAGAAATTTATCCGATCTAATATATGATGATGATAATAATAATAATAATAATAGTGTATGCTGGTTTACTGATTTCGTTTACATCAAGTCATTAGTTGAGACAAGTAACCTTTTAAAAGGAACTGAAAATTTCAGGACCGGAGTTGACGAATAAGAAGAATTAATTTTCAAGAAATTTTGTGGGGGCGATGGTGATGACCAAGAAAAAAGATTCCAAATCGGTGATATCATACAAACTGTAAGGCGGTTTGCGTTAGAAGATGGTTGTAAATATGCATGTATCATTAATATCAATATTAACAACCAAAACTTCTTGGGATTGGTTTGAATTTTTTATAATGTTGAATTTCTCATTTGCTTTTTTTTCAACTCACATTAATTCAATCGACCAAGGTTTCTTTTGTTAATAGTAATGATGATGACGATAACAATGATGATGACACCATCGATAATGATGACGATGACAATGACAAAAATAATCGATGACAATAATAATAATAATAATAACAATAATAACAACGACAATAATGACAATGACGGTGACAACAGTGACGATATAACAGTGACGATGACAATAATACCAGCAGCAACTACGTTAACAATATTAGTAAGTGCAGTGTTGACCGTGTTGATGATAACGATGATGGCGGTACTGGTGGCCACGAGCAACTATCACAAACCCTCCCTTTATCCGAATGCACATTAACAACATTCACAAAAAAAGATAATAAACTGGGGATATGAGAGCATTTGGCTTAATGAAAAAGACCTACAACAGAGTTACCAAAACAAAAAATCACCAAACAGATATTTTGGCATCATATTATATCAATTCTAGGTAAAAAAAATTTCTTTTACGATTAAGCCAGCATGTAAACTATTTTAGATACATGAACGTGTTTATTTGTATAAATGGTTTATCTATTAGATTCCAATACATTAAGGATAACCTAAAAAAGACTACAATTTCAACGGTTAGGGAATTGTTACCAGATGGAATAATTTTTTTGGATTTGGAGGCCCTGACGTTAGAGTTTACATATCTGGTTATAGAATCGTCGTCGTTGTAATAATCATAATCGTTATCATCGTCATCATCATCAAACAAATAACAAACGTTGACAAGAATCGAGCAGCACTAAAAAAAAACTTGAAGACACATTCGTTGAATCAAGAGATTTTCCAAAAAAAATAAAAATAAAAATAAAAGATCCTTGACATCCTAGTAAATAAAAAGGACTATTAAAAGAGGAAGTTCTTTTGAAAAAGTTGTTAAAAAAATTGTCGGGAATGGAACTTAGCAAGAGATGAGCGGGAAGGATATTTTTATTTATTTTTGTGATTTTGGTACACATACACACACACACAAAGTATCTTAATCATTTACATAATGTTATAACGTATTTGTAGTGGTATACCGTAACGTTGTCGTACACATGTTATAATAAATAACGAGTGATGAAAATACTCATTAGTTAATAAAATTTATGTAACGGATTTTTCTTTATTTCCTTCGGTTACGACCGTATTCCTACTACTACTACTACGTTGCATAATTTTAACGGATAAATATTAATATTACCTTATTATTATTATGAAAATATTATAAATTGCAAATGAATGGCCGACCAATTAAATTCATCAAAAAATTTAGTTACTGCTATAGATGGGCGTCTAAATTGTTTGTGGGTTGTCTAAATTAATATAAATGGTAATGATTTGCTTTAAATACAACTAAAAGTCACGTGCATATACACAATATCCACAAAGTTCAGTAAATTATCCAAT